TGCATAAATAATCCTGCCATTTGTGCTCTGCACAACTCCAGATCGCCGGTTGTAGTTGTTCAGTTCCATGGGCTCGAATGATGCTATATGCAGACCTCTTGGTCTGGAATGTATTGCTACTGGTTGGCAGATGCGGAGGGGGGAAAGGTAATGTGTTTGCCCTGATGAGTGCCTTAAGGAGGGGATCAAAGCAGGGACAGCCAAGATTGGGTGGCTAAGTATAGGAGGAGCACAGGTCAGTACTAAAGGTCTGACCTTAAATCCCTGTTACTGAAGTTTTTTGTGTGTGAAATGCAGAAGTGTGGGTAGGCCTGCTTACAGCTGGCATGGACTGTACTGTAGTGCTTTGAATAAGCATGGAACTCCTCTGACTTAAACAAAATGCTGTGGGAGGTGGGAAAGAGAGCGAGCTCCTCCCCTACTCTAGTGCCGAAGAAGAGTAAAGAGGAACCTCCCCAGCAATATTCCCTCTCATTTTTTTCCCATCCATGTCTGAATTTTTTTCCATCCATGTGTAGAATAAATGTTTACGTGCACTGAAGCATGTGTGAATGTGCACAACCAGCAGAAACAAAACCTAGCCGTGGGTGCTCTATTAATCAGCTGGGCGGCATTGGCATCTCTCCTGAGTGGCTGCAAAAGCTCACAGCTTACAGGAAACACTGCTCCCCAGCTGTACCCTGCTTTTCACTTGACTCCCACTGCAGTATGTTTTCAGCCATCTAGGCCCAGGAGTGGCCTGAGGCCGGCTGCGGCAGCTGGCGCCCCAGGCAGAACACGTGATTGGCGCCCCCGCCTGTACGACTGTCAATGGCGTGATGTAATCATCGGGCGCTCCGTTGAAGGTGGCGCCCTAGGCAACCACCGAGTGAGTCTGTACTCACGGGCCGCCCCTGTGTAGGCCTGTGGAAGGATTAAGAACAGAACCTCCTGCTGCTCCTCTGCACCTGTTGTTTGGCACCTCCTGCAGTTGCTTCTCATTTCCCAGACTGTTGGGAGGGAGACCCTCACAGATTCCTGGCAGCTGCTCTCTGGCTTTGTGGAAGACATGGGAATTTTCTCCTGGCCCCAAGGATGATCTCTGCGAGCACAGATTTCTCTATATTATCTGTTCCTAGCATTCCCTGAAACCACTAGAGTCTGGGGTGTGAAGCAAAGACTGCCCTTCCTCACTCACAGCACAAAAGTCCTCATGCAAGTGTCCTGGGAATTGAAGATCAGACCTTTTTCTCCCATTTCCTGCCCTTCTGTAAAATATCAACGAAAGCACTTTGTGCTCATGGAAACTTCCTCTTCCACGATGCCCAGGCATCTGCAGTTGCTCCCTGGCTCTGAATACAAAACAAATGAAAATTTTCTCATCTCTTTGGTTCCTTTCCTGGCCAGAGCTGCTCCACAGCACTGTGAAAGGTGTGGCACTGGCAGCAATCTCCAGGAACTTCACTATACTTCCTTTCCTCTAGCAGGATCCAGGGACAAGTCCCATTGTACCCTGGCTATTTCCACTTTGTCTCTCTCCTGGCCCTGTGGAAGTGGGTTGGCAGGAAGGGAGCATGCATAGTCTTGCTTTTCATGGACTTCTGCTTGCTTCATGTAGGGGGTTTGAGAGGGGAGATGTTCAAACTTTCACTTGTCTGACTTCTGAAGAGGTGTGGGGAAGAGGAGGGGGAGGAGGAAATTCCCATTCTAGGGAAGACTGTCTGGGAACAACCTTCTGAATTTTTCTTTACTCTTCTCCCTGGCTCCATACTGGTATCCTAAGAGCCAGGGAACAGCCTTTTCGGTCACTCTGTGGAGTTTGGGGAATTCCGTGCTTGTCTGTTCCGGTATCCCGTAATTCCTGTACATGTCTCATGACAGCTGAAGAAGTGGGTTATACTCACTAAAGCTCGTGATACCATCTACATATTTTTTTAGTCTTTGAGATGCCACTAGACTATTTGTTGTTTAAGTTTTTCCAATTACAGACTAACTCAGCTACCCCTCTAAAGCAGTTAATTTGTGCATTCTAAAACATTTAATATAATTTCTGAAATAAGAGACTTCTGTAGTAGCACCCAGCCAGCCCGAAACGTTGCTCTGCTGTTGCGTGAAACAGGACCGCCATCTGTTTTTAGTGCTTGGAGAAGAGAGTCTGAACATGGGCTTCACAAGCAGGGTTTGAGGCTCAGAAGTGAAGCTAATCATCAACTCAGAAGAGAAATTGGCTGTAGTAAAAGCATTGTCGAATTCCACAGAGTAAACAAACTGAGAAAATGGGGTTGTTTCTGTGGTCTAGCCATTCAGTCAGATAGAAATAGGATTCTTAGCTTGATAGTGGCCTTTTTAAATCTGCTGTCACCGGATAAGCCTTTTGTGGTGGCATTGGTAATGGCATTTCAGTGACAGATGGATGTGACAAAGGCAAAGCTGAGTATTGCATTTTTTCATTTCTACATAGCTGCATATTGCCAAATTTGTAGCACTTTGTTTAATATTTTATACCTGAAATAGAGGCTTTAACTTCTATTTATACCATTATATTTTTGTCATTTTATATGTATTTAATATACAAACTAGCACTGTTCTGTGCCCTCTCTCTCCCATTTTAGGTCTTGGAGCCGCTTTTAGAGATTCTTCTATGCCTGCTTTATTTTTGAGCAAGAGGATTGATGCAGAGGGATCAGTGGTAACAGCTGACACACTGATACCAGCCATAGCACATTCGTTCTTAGGTTACTTACATTTTGCAGCACACTGATCAATTTGAGAATCGAGGGAAGAGTAAAGATTGAAAGTTTTTTGATGTTTTTCAATTTAATTGAAAAAAATTAAGTGTAAGGAACTTTAAATGGCCATATTTGTATTTAACAACTGGCAGATATTGAATATATGTTTAGACTGGCGCTTTTGTTGTTAAAATGTTTGTTGCCCAGGGTGTGGAAAAAACACCCTTCTAGACAGCAACATTTTTAATGACAGAAAGCTCCAGTGTGGACAGCACTTCATCAGAGGGAGCAATGCTCCATGCAATCAAGCTACTGCCCCTCGATAGAGGTTGCTTTATTTTGTTGCCGGCGGTGTTCCCTCTACTAACCTTTATGTCCATGCGTGAAATGACTTTTGTTGTGTGCACCTGTATGAAGGTGATACAAAGCCATTCTGCACATGGGCTGTGTGTGGCAGGAGTGGGGCTGAGGGATTGCGTGTGGGAGCGGGACTCAGGGCTGGGGCAGAGGATTGGGATGGAGGAGGGTGCCCGCTGGCCACGTCAGCTCCATGCTGGAGCAGATGCATCTCTCTTTGAGTCCCCACCACTGCTCTTAAGCCCCAGAGCATGACTTAATAGGCAGTGGTGCAGCTTAGAGGGAACTTAGTCGCTGGGAGACTTCTCTCCCAGTGATAGAGCAGCATCAGCAGCAGCACACCTTTCAATGATACAGCTGTGGTGGCACATCTGCATTGTTGTAAGATGTGAAGTCTAGATATAGCTTTAATCTACTATTTTCCCTTTCTTATCAATTCTCACCTCTCAATTTTTTCTTTTTGTGTTTGGTCTTTATAGTACAGGCAGTCCCCGGGTTACATACAAGATAGGGACTGTAGGTTTGTTCTTAAGTTGAATTTGTACGTAAGTCGGAACTGGTACATATTGTACCCCAGGTGTCCCCGATTCAGCGCTGCTGAAACTGACCAGCAGCTGACTACAGGAAGCCCGAGGCAGAGCTACTTTGCCCCTTTTCTTTTTGTGTTTGGTCTTTATAGTACAGGCAGTCCCCGGGTTACATACAAGATAGGGACTGTAGGTTTGTTCTTAAGTTGAATTTGTACGTAAGTCGGAACTGGTACATATTGTACCCCAGGTGTCCCCGATTCAGCGCTGCTGAAACTGACCAGCAGCTGACTACAGGAAGCCCGAGGCAGAGCTACTTTGCCCCGGGCTTCCTGGAATCAGCCGCTGATCAGTTTCAGCAGCAGCTGACTTGGGGACAACTGGGGGAG